ATAAAGGCTTCACTAGACATAATTAAAATTGGGAGAAATCAGATAAACATTAAAGATTTTCTGTTCTGGGACTATTTTCCAATAGGAGTAGGCAAAGTAAACAACCTACTTCATCTTAAAACACGGCTAACTAAGTTAAAAACTAAGGTTAAAGGAAGCATTTGCCTAAAAAATTACATTATGGGATTTGATATACAATAGATCTTCTACAATTTTATCTCCAGAATTCTCAGGTCAGTCAATACATCTGCAGTATTAGGATGAGGGAAGCCTGAGCTGGGAAGTGACAAAAAAGTAGAGTAAGATAAAAGGTCACAACCAGAAAAATAAAGAAGGGAAGTAAAATGAATAGGGAAATTTAGATCTTAGGAAAAAGAGCTGAACAGAGCAATTATAGAATAAAAAGTATTATATAATATGTAACTCTGCAAAAGGGAAAGAAAGTAGAAAGCAGAAAGATGGCAACAGTAAAGGATTTTCCTTTCCTTTTCATTTACAAAGCATAGTTTTCTGCTAGAAAGACAGACAAAAAATACTAAAATATTTTTAAAACGTTAAAATGCAATGAGTAGTTTATCACCTATACACATTGAGTTAATTGACTTTGTTGAGAGAGAGGATTTTCCTGGTGGCAGGATGTGCAGCCACTGACACCAAAGTGTTTCATAAGGACCTTACCAGAGAGAACAAAACACAAAGTCCTCTGCTACCCTGTCCCTGATCCTCCCAGATTGAAAGTCTTGCAGTCCACCTGAAGGTGAGCTCCTCTGTCTCTGTTGGAGGAGAGATCTCCTTCCCTGTCTTGTTTCAGCCACCAGCAACCAGCCTCCCACACCTGCCCTTCAACAAGCTATTGCTCTGGCACCTCCTGTAAGCACTCAAATGAACCATTAAATGCAGTCTTGATTAAATACTTGTAAGGAAGGGATTTCTTAAATAACAGTGTGATTTGGTCTCTCCCTTTGAACCAGGGATGCTATATAAATAGGTTTACCTCTGAATATCCGCTACACAATGTTTCCCTTCAAATATCAAACAAAACCCAACCCAGTGTTACATTAGACAGTTGGAAGTCTGAGGACTTGTCAGAAACTGTCTTGTGATTAATTTATACATCCCTTGTATATTACACACACTGTTCCTCGGGACATCACATTTCACATATTGCCCATCTGCACCCTCAGGTCTGCAACAGAGGAGATGTGCAGCTGACAACTTAACTTGCATTTCCTTTACACCCCATGGCTGCATGGCTTCGAGGAGCTCTGCTCCCCAACAGTGTCAGGCTCGCAGGAAACCTTTCCCTCAGCCCTAAAGCATGCAAGGGACTCGACAGCAATGAGGGGCTGAGCTGCCGGGGATCAATGCCACGTTGGCACTGGAGAAAGGCAGTAAAACATGGGCTATAAGAAAGACCTTGAGTGGAAAAGTTGCTCCTTTTTGAATTGGTGTGAAATACTGGAAACTGTCTCCCAAGCTTAAATTGTTCTCCAGCAATTGGCACAGAATCTGGATAAGAAATTATTTTTCTTGAAAACCCAAATGATTTGTAGTGGGATTCTGTCTTCATAAATATTCTTTTATTATTGTGGCTTTTTTCCCCAAACACGCAATAAAGGAGTGAGTCGTAAACATGTAGGAATACTGCTCCTCATTTCCTTTTGGGCCCCCAATCAGGAAATGTTGAAAATCAGTGTTGGTATTGCTGAAGATTAATGGCTGCTGCTCAGAAACCATACAGAAAGGGAATATATTCCTGCCAGGACAAATACATAGGCCACTGGACAAAAATCTGTGAACCACAGATAGTATTATATCATCATTGTAAAGATCCACACTGCCTGTCTTGCTCTGTAATTAATAATATTCACATGTGGGTTTGACTGAAATCACTGTAACAACCAGGCAAATTAATACCAGGACTTCATGGTCCAATTTAATCTAACAGCATTTGAAGTTTTCTTTTCAAATCAGCTTTGCAGTATTTAAAAATTAGATTTTTTTTTCCCAGGTATAAGAAGCAATCCTTCATGGGTTTTTTGCCACTATATGTTCAATATGGGTTTAAAGACCATGTAATCACTACTTTTTTTATATGAGCAGTTAGATCTCACAAGAGAAAATACACTCCACTGAGCTGTAGGGACATTAAAATAAATCCCTGTCATCAGTTCATTTGCTTCCTACTCTCCTTCAGAGAGGCTGTACTTAAGAGCTCTCCTGCCATGTATATTGGGACACATTCTCATCACCACAGCTTCTGTAAACTTTTTCTTCCCTTTTGTTTTCTTACAAAATAAGGCATAGACTATGGTGACCTCAGATGTTCGTGAAAAGCTTTCCTTCTCTATATTCAGTAAGTGTACAGGGTCCAGCCTGGAAACACAAAGACAGGCACAGCTGAGTCCAACTTGGTTCTAGAAGCTAAAGCACAAGCAAGCTACCTAAGGGTATTATAATTTTAAAAACCAATCAAGGTAAAAATGAGGACATAAACATAATTTCCAGGGCATCTGTCCATGGTTTTCTGGCACGTTTGACTTCAAAATGAAGAGCTGGGTCATCAAGTTGTGAAGTATGTGCTCAATATTGATACCAAGATCAGTGTGGGATGGGTCTCTGTTGTCAGATGTTAGCTCACTGTTTGAGGGTTCCAAGCCAGTGTCACCCTGGTGGCATGGGCACAAAATGCCCCCTGCTCATGGCTGAGTAAACAATTATGGTATTTTATCCCATTTTTTTAAATTTAGAAAATAATGCATCTCCCTACAGGTACAGCCTGATGTTATTCTCAAAACAAATTCTTCTTACATATGCCGAGATAATGTTTGCTTTGTCAGTATTGAAATGGCTTCAAAGTAAACCGTAATATGATTTGTCAGTCCAACAAAATGCCAGCCAGCCACCAGAGATGTCTGAAAAGATCTGAAAATAAAAAGCCATGAAATGACTCAGTGCATTAGGTCACTGTGACAGCCAGGAGGTAATACCAGAGTATTTACTTTGGCTGGAGCTTTCCTTGGCTCATCTTCCTTTGTAGTGTTAAAGCCAGGCTCTCATCTCAAGCCAAAGTGCTGTAGCTTGCCCACTTCAGAAATGGGTCAACACAGGTACCAGGGAAAAAAACTAAAATGGGGGATTGGACATGAAATTAAAAACTTGTGTGGATTAAAAATAATTACTCTCTTCTCTGCCTGGCTGCAAGGAACAGAAGAACAGACACACTCCACAGCTACCAGTGTGGGTGTCCCCATACCCTCCTGTCATGCCAGGAAGCTTCAGAAGTGCCTGACATCTCTTTGGGGTCTGTATGCATTAAAACCCCAGGATCTCTTCCCATCATCCCCATAGGGAAAATGAGAACATGGGCAGTCCTTCAAAGGTTGTGTAACTACCCCACAAAGTAAAAGACTATGGTGAAGAACAGGAGAATTACTCAAGCAATAAAGACCACATTTATTGCCACACAGGAAACATTAGTGACTTTCTTCACCTCTCCTTTCCAGACCACAAAGGTGACTTCAGGGTAAATCTTTGTGAACAACATGAGCATGATACATTTCTGTTGAGGTTTGGCTCTGTTCACCACAGAAGCTGCACGCTAGCTCCATCTCTAAGGAAATTACATACACAAGATTTTTAATAAAGTCAAATGGAGCACAATAAAAATGGTTACTTTTCTGTAATGGTAATTTCTCTTTTCCTCTGCAAAATTGCATTCAACATATTTTCTTCCTCTTTTTCCCCTGCAGGTTTTCATTGTAAAATGACCATTCTCCATCTCTGGCAAAATTATTTATTTTGAATGCATACTTCTTGTAACTTGACAGTAGTTTCTGACAAACTAGAGGTGAATTATGTGCAGAAAAAGTGATAGTTAATGATACTTAGTGAGATGGAATCTCAGAGTTGTGCTAATGGTAACTCGTACCAAAGAAATTAACAGAACAATTGCTTCTTGTAATCAGATAAGATGGTAACAAGTTTAGCATTAAAGTAATAATGTTATGAATATGGGTTTCAGGGGAAAAGTAAAGCCTTCTATGAAAAGCTAAATAGTAATGGTTAATTGGAATAAAGGGATTAAGACAAAATATTTCACACAGGTCAGGTGGCTTTTTTCTGCTCGTCCATTGGTTCAGTGAAAAAGGTCACTAAAGTACAACCAAAAGAATGTATGATTTGAAAAGCAGTCCTACTACAAAAGGGGATAAGTTTGGAAAAGCCACAAGTCTTCATATTGACTTTTTGAAATACCACTTTTCAGCTTCTTATTTTGAAATTCTCTGGAGGCTCACACTACAGAGTTCAATGATGTATTAGCATTAAAGAGAATCTCAAAACTGGACAGACATTTGGGGACAAGGCAAGTGTAAAATTAGGCTGACTGCCATCAAGGACTTACTACTGAGCTGAATTAACCTGCAAACTAGGACAACTGAGAAAGCTTTCAAGCAAGCACTCCTCCAAGAAATAAAACTAATGGATCTTTGAAAGGCAAGGAATGTGCAAAGCACCGGACTCCTGAAAGCAGACAGGACAGGCAGAGCTTTGGCTGATGCCTCAGTAACATCTAAATATGCAGAAATTCCAGGAGACATCCTAAGTTCATTTTCAGTATTGCTGACTTGTATATTTGCCTCTTGAATATTTTCAATAATGATTGTATTTACATTCCCTATATTTACTTCCCTTCCCCCGCTCCCTTCTTCCCACCCACCACTGATTCCCCTGTGGTTGTTTTCAGCCTCACCTGCAGATCCATATTTGTTTGTCAGGTGTTTCTTTGACAGGTGTTTATAATTTATCTTGCTTGGGTAGCTGCAGTGGTAAATAAAGCATCACTTAAAACTATGACTGTTAAATACCAACTACCACTGCTCTCTCCTTGTGGTCTTTGCCTTTAATATGGATGTTCCTGTTAGTTGAGTCCTGTGCTTTGGACAGCCTAAAAATAGATAGGTAGATAGAAAATATGGTTTAGAAGATGTTTAATTTACCTGCAATTCTCCTTCCATTATACTGAGTAGTTTTATCAAGTCTTCTTTAGAAAGCTCTATGGACTTCTTGTTCTTTCGCTCACTAGGACCGGGTGATTTTGAGTGCCGTTTGACAGTTGCTGAAACCATGACCTCATCTTCCTTCCGATGAGGTTTGTTCTTTTTCTTGGCATCCTCCTGAAGTTTTTCATTCTCTGCATGGCTGATGACAGGCTTGGAACTGGAGAAGTGCCCGTTAGACGAGCTTTCTCCACCTTGGTTTCGGGACCTCATCCCTGCCTAGAAAGAAACAAACATAAAAGATGCATTTGTAAACAAAATTACTTACAAATAAGAAAGCCACAGTGGAAATACTGCCTGTGGTAAGAACAACAGTCTTCTAAAAACTGAAGAATACTGTCACGCTCAAGAGACTGTGGTAGAAAGCTCAACCATTTTAACAACTCTGTGTGTGGCAGAAAAAAAGTCCTGAGGTAAGGTTAGCCATCTTTTCCAGCAAGCCAAATGCTGATATGAGTTTAAATGTATGGAACCTAAAATTGATGTGGGACAACACGTTCCAATGTTTCCTTTTCTTCAGCTGCCATGTTGATAATTCACAATTCAACACTACAAAACAAAGCAGGTTGTCAAATAGATCTTATTTAACAAGTGGCTTACTTGAGAAACAGAAATGCAATTAAATTTTTGAAAAGCATATTGCTGGAGTAGAAATTCTGTATGAGAGTGGAGTGCCAAAGCATGACCAATGTCAGTCTGCTGTTTCTCTGAAATAAACAATGATTTTATTGCAGGTAACAGAGAAAAATGGAGAATGCAGAGTAAATCAGGTGGCAAATACTGCGCAGGGTTATTAGACAATAAGTTCCATAAAGGAAAGTTGAAAAGAAGTTTGAAAAATGAGCAAAAATGGTATGAAATCACTAACAGGTAAATGGACAATATCAACACACTCTCTCCAAAAGATTCAGGGTTTCTCCAAAGGTCTCATGGTTATTCAATGCTCACATTTCTGTCTTCTTAAGCACCTACATTGAGCCTTAGACTACGACAGCAAACATTCCTCAGCTCTGTCACTTGACCAAATGTACTGCTAAACTTTTATAGCAATAAATCTAATGAAAAATATTCCACTGCTTCCAAGTATTTCCTCTCATTTAAATTAATCTCTGGTATTAGTTTGCAGTTTGTTCATTAGTCAAAGGGATGCTTTTCAACATCAATAACATCACACACCCTGCTGATAAAGAGTTCAGAGCAGCAGTTCACTAGTGAGGGAGCAAAACCTAAAATACATTGACAAATTTAGCTTTGCTAAATTACACTGGGTCTGCAGTGGCTTGCCCACGTACTTGACTCAGGCCAGCATTATAAATCTCTTGCTGCAACTATCCTTGCACTTTTGTAGTTTCACACTCAGCATGAAGATTGTCTTTTTATTACAACTGGTTACTCATGTCCTCACTAATTCAGTGGAATTCATCCAGCAGCATAAATAGGGAGAGAATTAGACCCTATATTTTGGAGTGAGAGAGTTGCACAAAGAGATTCCTCGCATTGTAGGCCTGCTCTTATCCAAACAATATGTGATACAGGTATACAATGGCCTTTAGCTTCCTGAATGCTTATGCAGGGTGTTTTTCATCAAACAGTTTGGATTAAATACATGAATTACACTTTCTAAAAACAGATCTCCATTATAAGCATGAACAATACCTGAGAACCTCAGGAAATCTTTTAGGTTTCAGATTTATAATGGAAAAATAAACATAGTACTATGTTTCCTCTCAGATAGGGCTTTTCAATTTGTTTAACTTTAATGGGTTTGAAACTTTCCAACCATGCTTCCTCTCAGGAGAGAGCAGTTGGGATTCAATCTGTCTCTATTTTCTAAGTGTTTCCTTCTGAGTCCCTGTGGGTCACAGCCTCCAGCTACTTTCATCTCTAAACCAAACCTATTTTTTATGGCTTACAGTGAATAGCTTCATGGATCCAGGACATCCCACATGTTTTAAGAGCAAATATTTGAAGACTGTCTTGTATATGTTTTGCAGTAGAAAACAGATTATTGTATTACAGTATATTCTGCTTAGTAATATGCCATTTTAGGGATTTCTCTGTAGTAAGGTGACTCAACTTATTGACCTGAAAGTGCACAATTAATGTTAAATTTAACTTATGTCTAGTTGAAACATATCATCAACCTGAAATATTGCATAATTGCATAACAGATGCACTTAGCTGAGTATGTTAGACTTCATGAAAGGTGGTGTGTCACCCAGTCACATCATAACTCAAGATAGACACTTTGATTCATCTGTCCTTGTGGGAGCTGAGATAATAATTCATGAGGCCAAGTAAAGACTGAGCAGTTGACTATAGGCTTATCAACCTGTTAACAGAGAAATTAGGAATGCATATTTCAAGTGTGCTTATGCTCAGTGTAAATCAGTAGAGGCCCACCAAGGACAAATGCAAAGTTATGTTCATTAAAATGGCAACGGAGAGGCTTAACCAATTGACCTGGTGTTTCATATCATCTGGCTAATTAGCATATGATTGCTGTTAGAGGAGATCGAACTTGGCCTCTGTCAGAATTTCTTTTAAACTTGTAGATTTATTTTGCAGCAAGGCTTACCTGAGAGTAAGCGTGGCAGTCAGTCTGCCACGCTCAGGGACACTGCCCCTAACAGCCTTTCTTAGTGTGAAAGCCTGCCAAAATCAGAGCAATGCTAACACTTACTCTCTCTTCCCTTATGATGTTGATACTTTTTCAACACATTACCCAAATGCAAAGGTGTCATGTGCTGAAGCCAGAGGTGCAGGTGACAGAAGCTTAAATGGTGACAGAAAAGGCCAAGGTTTTCGATATTCACACAGTAATTTCCAAGGAGTTTAAGGGCCAAAATCAACGGCATGATCCAGCTGTTGTGCAGTGCTCTAGGAACACAAACCAGCTGTAAGGATGACTGAGTTTTAATTAGAGCAGCGTGAAGCAGCCAGAACATACCAGTGATGTTGGCTGAAATACTGTGTGCTGGAAAGGAGTGCTCAGCATTATCATTTTGGATATCCGTCCGCATTTCTGATGGCATCACGATAAAGAAAAGTTTCTGACTATTTGCATGACATTATTTCAGTATGCAAATATCCAAATCCCAAAACTTTGCTTATCTGTTTTTTCACCAGGGTTCCAAAACTGATTCTGGGGACACTGCCAGTCCAACACTGGTAACAAATGACCTCCTGCTGTCATTCCTGACCACATCTCCATATCTTAAGGCATTCCTGATCTGCTGAAGGGATTGTGTTCCCTGAAGAAATAACTCATATGATTTATAGCAACTTTAGCATTTAACTCGACTTCTCTTTTTTCCATTCCTTATCATATTGCATATTAAGCTGGAAACCTTTCCTAACAATTTCCAGTCAAACAAGAAGACTTTATGTGATCAGTCACCTTGATTTTGACATTTATTGGCTATTCATTTCAATATGTGCTCACAGCTTTGGTACTCGGCATGGGAACTCTTCAGCCCCTCCTCTGATTCAGTCATTTGTTAAGCTTTATGCACAAAGGACAAATGCTATGGTTATTTACATGAGCCTGTATTGTTGTTCTGGGCATGGATCCTTCAGTTTTCACAAGTTAGAATCCACACAAGATTTTATGAAATAACCTTTATGTTAGTTTTACTGACATCAGGAGGAAATCTGTGAGGAATTTGCTGAGTAGGATGTCAGGAGAGGACAGGCTGCATGCTATTCCAAGTCTTTCCCCCGCTGATGGCAATTTGTTCTCCCTAAAGCTCTTGAAATGGAAAGTTAGATTAGGCTCTGTTACTAGTTCTGTTGGAATCAGATAACGCAAAGGGGTTCTTTGAACTTAATGTGTAGCCCCTCTTGCTAATTGGACATGATGATTTTGGCTCCACAGTACTTTCCCTTACAATAATAATAATAATGTTATAATACACACACACACACAAAAGTTGATTTAAAGCTATGATATGGTTGTTGCCGTTGGCAATAAGTTTGTAGTCTGGATCTCAGTTGCAGATCTAACTGATTAGAGTATGACATGAAAGTGCTGGGTTTCTGACAGGCTAACAAAGTATTGCAAGGACAGTGCAGCTGGGTTAGTGAACCAAAACTGGGATTTGTTTCTCTGCTGTGGCTTTGGGAACTGTATCTTTCAGGGGCTCTGCTGTGCAGGAATTTGGAGTGGAGCACAGTGATGTGCAGAAGGGCCTGGGTACACAGGGTTGATTGAGGAGAACTCAAGCACTGAGCAAGACAAGTTTCTGCCCAGTGATTATGGATCAATATATAGGACTAGGAATGAAAAAATATTTAAATATACTCAAATGGGAGGCCAAATGATATATAATCTCCATCAGATCTGAAACACTTCACAAATAATGATGAGAGCTAGAAAAATTTTTAAATAGTGTCAGTCTGTATCTGAAAGTAGTAGGTACCAATTGAAAAAAACTGGGAAGGGAAGGGAAGGAGACATTTTCTCAAATGTCAGGAGGAGAGGAGGATGGGGGCATCAAACTGACCTTGTTGGCTTAGAAGTCCTCAGCAAGGACCACCCCAGACAGGAATGGATGGCTTTAGCCCAAGGGATCTGGATAGCCACAACTAAGTTTACCCAGCTTCAGTAATGTGACTTTCACAGGACAATCATGTAGAGATACAACTCCTCATACCACCTCAGAGACTGATTAAAATTATTAGTTTTCATATTGGTTATTCCAGGTCATTTTCCTGGGCTCTGAAGATGTTCATTATTTTGTCTGGCTTGAAGAGATTAAAAGGAATCACATTCCCAAGAGGTTGTGATAGGAACAGTGGGAGCTGTGGCTGCACTGAATGAGCAATGCTGTGCAGCTGGACTCTAACACTGTGTGAAGCAGACTCTGCATGTGACAGACTCTGGATGTGAATGAACTAGGACAAGGCAATGCAGACCTCATTCTTGCTTTTGCTTTTGCAGATGACTCCTGTGTTTTTTTCAGTCATGACGGTCAGAGGAGGGCAATAAATCTAATGACTAATACAATGAAGAACAGAAAAAATATCTGACCTTAGCAATCCTGGGGTTTCCTGAATTTCTAAATTTTCAATCCTAAAGTACTAATCTCTTGTGCTGTCTAACCCCAGTCTCTTGTCCTCATATGCATCATGATTTGAGCAAACAAGAAAAGGTCTTTGTTCCTTTTGACAGTGTTATACTTTGCCAATGTGAGAGCACATGTTTGCTGCTTGCCCTT